CTGAACAGAGCCCCTAAAGTGATCCGCCTTTAAGAGCATCTTCACGCCGCCCAGAAGCATTTGATCTGCAGCTTCACCCCAGTGAAAGCCATGCGAAATTGAATGCGACTTCAACTCCACTAGAGGAGGACAGCCGAAAACTAACTGCTGCTCCAAGAGGGAAAGCTGTGCACAGCTGTGAATGTAACACGCATTTGACCCTATATCCTGTTCTTTGTAGCTGCAATATTCTCCACCACAATCAATACTGCTGCTGCTGCTGGCCTCTTGTTTCGGCAGCAGATTGAATCCAGGATCTACTGCGTCCACCTCGGCGGTGATCAGAATTCGCATTTGCTGGCAGAAGTGGAAAGAATGCAAGACAAAGCTTGTTGTTAATTCTTCTCTTTTTCCCTCCCCTGTACTCACTGTGGCGGTGGTAGTGGCTTTATGTTCGAAGTCGCGGCCGCAGCCAGCGGAAGGCGTTTTGGCAGGTGCCTTGGAAGTAAGCCAAAGGGTATTGCTGCCTCCTGATATCTTGCATGTTTATCACAACCCTCTACAGCGAGAGGGGGCTTTGTTATACTTTCTTGTGAGGGTGTGTTGCGGCAGGAGCTACACGAGGATCTGCTGTCAGCCCTGCCTTCTTTCCGCATCGGACCCATCAGCTCTCCAAGTTGAAGAGTTTCACCGTTTCTTCCTTTTTTGCAGTGCGGCAGATAACCGATTGCTCCTCTCCAAAGGATGCTTCCGTAATGCGTCATTGATCTATACCTTCAGATAGGCTGAACAGCTTCTGCTTAGAGAGGATTGAGAAGGATGGAACGCTCTATGGATAGCTTCCCTGTTGTTTCAGCTTTTATAGTTGTCCCCAAGCTTACTGCCTTTTCTGGGAATAAACGCACATCTCACCCTATTTAGTAGAGTTTCTATATTCCGGATTTTTCGAGGGAAAAGCGATACACCTGTTTTGAAATAGCCACAGTTGTTGTGCTGTCCCTTTCTAGTTTCAAGAATGCCAGTAGCGCGTTTCTTGTTAAGTAAATTTTGATGATGAATATATTCTTTTAGGGAGAGGGACTTCCGCACTGCTGCATCGCAATGCGCTTAGCCTTGGACTATCGACACAAAAAGGAGGAATTCCTCACAAATGGTTCGTGCGATCAAAGCATTTCCAGGTTATGAAGTGCAGCTACTGCGCTCGTTCCATCGAGATGAAGAGCGCAGCCTCTAGCTCCCGCTATGCAGATCGACGTTACTCTCCATTACTAGAGAGAAGGAAGGACTGAATGTTTGACAGTGGTTTTAGGGGAAATACTCCAAATTTGCCTCTTTTCTTCAGGCAAAACCGTCCGCCATCGCGATGCTTTCAGGTATACAGAAAGTCCTCGACGTTGTATGGTGATCATCGTGGGGTGTCGTAGGGTCAAACCTTCACATAAAGGCTCCACGAAAAGTTGCTCAACTCCCTTTTCATCTGCTTTCCTGGTTTCTAAGATACAGCGGCAAAAGGGCGAAGAGCTGGTGCTTGTTCTAAATAACAGCACACCTTATAAGAACTCGCGCTGCAAGGGGGACTCGCATGCAACTATAGTCAAATGCCCTTTTGCTGTGTGCTCTAACACCGTATTTAACTACTAAACACTTACTGGAATCTCAGTAACTAACCTGCAATGCATATACCAACTTCACAGAGGTCATGGTAGTGCCTATTGCCAGCAATATATATTTGCTTTTAGCTCGTTGTAGAATAGCTATAGAGACAAGTATCCTTCTGCAAATCCTAGAAAAAATACTTAAAACTATGAAGCTAACAAGCCCCTATTTACTCTAAAGAGAGAACGTTTATTTTGTTTGGGTGATTTGTATTCGATTCGTTGGTAACGGCAGTGGCAGAATGTCGCTATAGAGCCGTCGGCCCCGCAATACATAGACGGAAACAAACAAGAAATATTGCTTTCAATTAATCGAATCAACGCAAAATCGCGTAAATAAACCTTTTATTTTCCCTTGAAACTCCTGAAGTCTCGCATGCTCCTGCGGGGGCCCCGCACCCCACAGCCCGATCTTCCGTCATTCTTTGGTTTCTCCAGGCTGCTGGCGAATTTTGAATTGCCATTTGAATGCAATTTAATAAAGGGTTCTGGAGTTTACATCGGATTTTTAAGGTTATTTCGTCTTTTAGAGGGCCCCGGCGCCCGCTGAACTCCGGTTACCTCTGTTCTCGCTGAAGGTTCGGCGTTTTCCTTTCTTCTCGCACAGATTCAAAGACATAATGAGAGGTATGCAATAATTCGATGGATAAAAATATTTGAAAGGATTTGAATTCATTTATTTTGCTCCTCTGCCGCCCCTAGTAGACCCCCGACGGTCTGCTGGGAGGCTGTGGCGTGAACAAGGCAGTTGCTTCCAACTGTAGAAGAACGGCAGCAACAGCAGCAGCAGCAGCAAAAACATCAGCAGCAGCAACAGCAGATGAATTTAAACTCGATTAAGAGCGCCTGTGTCCATACGAAGGGGTACACTGAAGGTGACCGCAAGCGTCTCTGCGTCTGTACGCCGCTGCTCTGTTTGCACTTGCCTTATTCTGTTTTTGCTGTAATTTGCTTGCAGGAGGAGGAGGATTTCGCGGAGGCGGTAGAGGCGGCCGAGGCGGCCGCGGTGGTGGCGGCGGTGGAGGTCGGGGGAGAGGCGGTGGTAAGTCAAACGCATGAACTAGCAATCTGTTTTTTGCTTGTTTGCTCTCCGGAGTAGCTGATCAAGAATACAGATCCAATGCTGCTGATGCTGCCGCTATTACTTTCACCTGTCCTTGTGCAACTAATTCTTTTCTTGCTGCTGTTGCTGCTGTTCAGGTGCTGGAGGTTTCAAGAGTGCGAGAGGAGGTCGTGGTGGAGGTCGTGGCGGGCGTGGTGGTGGTCGTGGTGGGGGTGGAGGCCCAGCGAAGGTGGTGGTAGTGCCGCATCGTTTTGAGGGTGTTTTTATGTCTAAAGGGAAAGCAGATTCGTTAGTAACTCGCAACATGGTTCCTGGGGAGTCTGTATACGGAGAGAAGAGAATGGAGGTAACCCAGGAGTCTGGCGAGAAGATTGAATACCGCATTTGGAATCCTTTCCGCTCCAAGTTGGGTGCTACATTGGTGGGAGGAGTGGCTAATATGCCTATTAAGCCGGGCTGCAAAGTGTTGTATTTAGGTGCAGCAAACGGCACAACTGTTTCGCACGTCTCGGATATAGTAGGCCCTGAAGGTGCGGTGTACGCAGTGGAGTTCTCTCATCGTTCTGGGCGGGACTTAACGAATATGGCGAAGAAAAGACCAAATATCGTTCCTATAGTTGAAGATGCACGGCAGCCTCTTAAGTACCGCATGCTTGTAGATATGGTGGATGTTATTTTCGCCGATGTCGCTCAGCCTGACCAGTCGCGTATCGTTGCATTGAATGCACATTATTTCCTCAAGCCAGGTGGCTGGTTTATAATTTCTATTAAGGCGAATTGTGTCGATTCTACTGCGAAACCTGAAGCGGTCTTCGCAGCAGAAGTCGATAAGCTCAGAAAAGAGAAATGCAAACCCAAAGAGCAACTCACGCTCGAACCTTATCACAGAGACCACGCCGTCGTGATCGGGCAATACCGGGTTTCGAAGAAGAAGTAAACAAAGACAAAAATTGTTTTGTGGAAAGAAGGGAGAATATTGCTTAATGATGCGATGATCAGGACGTGAGAGGAACACCTTCTCGCGTTCAGCCACCTTTGTACATCCTTTTAAGTGGAAAAAAACCGTTAAATGGAGAGCCCTATAATGGGTCATTCATTTATTCAAATTTGGCAATTAGCACTGCGGTAAACTCTGATTTTTCGACTTATTTCTGCATTTTTGGGGGAGGATTAACTCAGCTATGCAGCTTTCAGTGCAACTCAAAATATCTAATAGGCAGTTCTTATTGATGCAGCACACTGCGTCTCAGATTGTCAGAAACAAAGCACAAAAATATAAGTGCACAATAGTTTTCGTGGAGTGGTATTGATGCAGCAACGAGATATACCTGTTCAGAAACGCGCAGAAGTAGAGCCGTCAACAGGACAGCTGCGGAAATACGAAAGAGAAGGAGTAACTCTGCATTTGAAATGTAGTCTTTGAAATACTGCCATTATATACACTATATATTATTAAGAAAAGTCGAATTGCTGCTGCCCTTAGGTGTCGCGACTCTTCGTTTTTAATGGGATGAGATGGTGCACATAGCAATTGATTGATGTACGAGTTTAGGATATGAATTGCCTTCTCTTCCCTCATCTTTTGAAGCACTTGGCTCTAAGCGTTTGCCCATTTCCTATCTATTTAAAAGCATGCAGCTTTCTGGGGAGTTGCAGCTGCAGGAGGCGCCTCTTTCTCGTGCATTGGTTTTGTTGTGCAGCCAGTTTCTTTTCTTGACTTGCATGATGTGAGTTATTTAGAGCACAATTCAGCTTATCAGAGGGTTGAAGTATGATAGAATGCTCAAACAAGTACAATGATCATTATTATTATGATGCTGCATATATATCACTTCAGAGGCGTCTCGATACGGGAGCGGAAGCTGCTGTCAGAGCATTGCCATTCTGTTTATTCTTGGATTTCTTTTTGCTGCCTTTTGGTTGGCGCTCTGGTGGCCGTTCAGGGACTGCAGGTAACCCCCATAAACACCGTAGCAGGGGGAATAATGCGAAATATTTCAGCAACAACACCAGCAATGCTAAACACCTACACGATAATATACACATATGCGCAAATACTTATCTTCGCATCTTCCTTGCAGCTTTTCCGAGAAGGACAGAGAAATGCGTTTGACATGGTGCTGCGGGGTTCTCTTGTGAGTAGCTTTAATCACAAAAACAGAGGAAACGATATTTGAAATATAATGGCTTTTTTTGAAGTACGTGTTGCTACCCTCCCTCCTTGTGCATTGTTTCTTTGGACTAGGTGCGAAGTGTATTGAGTGAAACGAATCGCAGGAAGATTTAAACATCACTTAATTATTTATTTATTTATCTCATCTCAGGTCTACACATTCACAGCCAACGCTGCAGCTTGGCGAACCCTCTGCTGTGGTGGACGGGTTTTATTGTTTGTTCATTTGTGTTGTTATTGTTTGCATCTCAAGCATTTATTCTCCTCTCCACTTTGCACTTCCGCAAAACAATGTTGCGCCGAGGCCTCGCGGGTCGCTACGTCATGACGGTAAATCTATAAAACCATCTTTGTTTTTCTCTCCTGCGTGCGTTTATATGTTTGTGGTTGACGCCTTCCCCTTTGTGTTTATTCACTTGCTCATCTGGTGTTTCTCTGCATATATTTGCCTCCATTGTATGGTCGTTCGTTCAGGATGATGCCGAGGCAATGTATTGCAACTTCAACTCGAAAGCAAGCTTAAAGGGCTACGGCACGGCTCTGTCAAGCACTGAAGATCTGTGCATTTAGCTCTACAAAAGGCGGAATATTTGGTGTATATATAATATTATATATATTATATATATAGCATGCATGCATCTGCGCATGCATATATGCTTGTGTTTGGATTCCATTCGCTCTGGTGTTGGGCTCCAAGAAGAAAATTCTTTAGACCCTGAACTTCCGCAAAATTTGCCGTGTCGTGCAGAACCGAGCAGTTTTTGAAATCATTTTATTTTATTTGGGGCTCTTTGGATATCTTACGGCCTCCTCAGAGGGTATTTCGCTAGCTACAATGATGCAGTTTAAACACCGCTAGCCAATAATACTTGCTGTTATTATACAATTAGTGAAACCATATGAAATGGGATTAAATGAAACCTTATACACTCCTCAGGGGGCAACCAGTATGCATGCAGAGCTATCAGTTGCAGTTCGTATGACTTGAAACAAAAAGAAGTGCGTAAAGATATCAACAAAACCCTGAAAATGCATGAATGTAGACTCTACCTGATTTAAGCGAGACGAAATGAACGTGTGTTGTGTTGAGAATTCACATTTTTGTGAGTTTCTCGTTGCTACAGGCAGCTAAAGAGAGCAATTTACATTTGTTCAATATATTCATATTGGTTGATCTTAGAGGAGGATCTGGGGCAAATCAAAGGACTTCTACACGCCTGTCTCCCAGGAAGAAAAGCAAGCTACAGCGAATATGCAACGAGCAACAAAATAAAAACAATGGGACGCGCCTCGACACAGAAAATGCAAAAAAAAATCAATGAATTCCGGCTGTATGTACAGCGCATTCGCAGCGAACCCGTCCAAAGTTGCAAAACGAACGGAAAATAAGCCCCCTTTGCAGGCTTAAAGAATTTGTTTTAAAAAGAGTTTGGTGCTGCTGCAAGCACACCAGCAGCAGGCATTCTCTCGCTCAAGGAAAACATTAACAATTGACAAACAACAACGAAACGAGCGTCGAGCTGTAGGAAGAAGAAATACCGATAAAATGCAAAATCCCTTAAGTACGGCTAAACTGTCTCTGGGTCACCACTTAAAGGAAGCGAACCGGAGAGGAGCCGCGAGCTGTCTGTACAGTTTCCAACTCAACAGAATGACGAGTAGAATAGACATCTAAAGACAGATTAAAGAGCGCATAAACACCAGCAACTGCTTGTGCTTATCTTGCTCTACAAATTCGGCTGCGAGGGCAGCGGCAACTAGCATCCAATTGCAAACGGGTTACTCCTGTTGCTGCTTCTGCTGCTGCTGCTTTCTTCTTCAATTATTCCCGCTGCTGCTGCTGGGTCATCTGACGGCGGCTGATTGACAAGCCCTGCAAACGGCGGCGCGAGCGCGACGAAAGGAACAGCACTATTCTCCCCAGGTGGAGCAGCACCAGCTGCTGCTGCAGCAGTAGTAGCAGCTGCTCCTGCTGCTGCTTCAGGGGGGGCTGGAAAGCTACCTAGTGTTTGTGTTGCGTGGGCGGAGGCAGCGCTATCCGGTGTACCCGGAGTATTCATACATTGTTGAAGTTGAGGGCAGTTGGCTGCACCAGTATATTGAGTGTTTAATTGCATCACTTCTTCGTTGTTGGTTTGGTGGATGTTGTTGCTGTTGCTTTGTCTTTGACTGTGAGAGGAGACACCAGCAGCAGAAGAAATTCCTACTTCTTTATTCAATATACCACCAGAAACAGACAAAAGATGTGCACACTGCAAACGAACTTCCAAAGAAGACGGCCGTTTCCCCTTTCGCTTCACCACACCCCAAAACCAACGGCAAAGGGGTTCTGACAGCTGTCCATAAACCTGAACAGCGCAAGATAGAGAAACATATATATATATATATATATATGTTTCTCTCTCTCTCTCTCTCTCTCTATATATATATATATATTATATGTATATATGAGTGTGTGCGTGTGCGTCCATGTGAGTGTGTGCATGTGTGTGCATACAGATATATATATATATATGCATTATATATAATAAATTAAAGCTTATGAGTAGGTTTAACTCTATTACTGGCTGCATTCAAGTATTCCCCTTTCACTGGGAAACATGCAAAATAAACACATACACCTCGACTTAATAAAGTTGCACACGTATAAGAACTATTTCAATATGCAGCGCATACACATCCAAAGGGTTTAGTAGAAAACATTTTCAATAAACGACGCAAATACTCTGAATAAGGTGTGTGTACACCCCAAAGATGCTGTGCGTACACCCCAACGTACTCTGCAAGAAAATGATTTAAACACGCGCTTCGTTCCTTCATACCACTGCGTGCACCAGGCCTGCAATAAGGCAAACAAGCGAACAGACGGAGAACTCAGCAGCAGCCGCAGCAACAGCAGCAACATTCCAGCAACACTGGCAAGAGCAGCAGCAGCAGCAACAGCAGCAAGACTGCAGCAACAGCAACATCTCTTGCACCTCTTTGGCCGCTGAGAAAAAAATGGAGGGTTCATTTGTTGCTTCAGGTTGCTTCCCAAAGGCCCCTTCCTGCCTCTTCGCTGCAGCAGCTGCTGCTGCAGCAGCAGCAGCAGGTGAGTGATGCTGCAGAAATCGCCTGTATGCCGCTAAAGCCCTTCTCTTTGCTTCCTCGAAGCCTCTCTTCCGCACACAATACTTTGAAGAAAACATCAAATGGCGAGACCCCACGACAGGCACCACCACTACCCACATCTCCAGTTCAGAATCATAGCGTACAGGAACCTGCTGTAGCAGCACCTGTTGCTGCTGCTGTTGCTGCTGCAGTTGCTGCTGTTGCTGCTGCAGTTGCTGCTGCTGTTGCTGCTGTTGCTGCTGCTGTTGGTGCACGGGGGAGGACCATAGCTGCTGTTGTTGCTGCTGCTGCGGGCACTGGTGGAGGTACTGCTGCTGTACCTGTTGCTGCATGGGCAAAGGAGACTGCGGGTTTAGCTGTACGTACAGCGGAGGTGATGCTGCTGCTGGGGCTGCCTCCCATTTATGTTGTGAAGGTAAATCCGTTACTTTAGGGCAGTTGCATTCATCCGGAGAAGAAGACGCAGAAGAAAACCCCAAAACAGCATCAGATAGACCCGAGGGAGAAGTCATACAGCCCATGCCATCACTTGGCAATAAGGAGCTAACCTGTTGTTGTTGTTGCTGCTGCTGCTGCTGTTGCTGCTGCTGCTCTTCCGCCAGGAACTGCAGTTGCTGCTGCTTATGTTCTCGCTGCTCCAGATGGTTTTGTTCCTGCTGCTGTTGTTGCTGGTGTACCTGCAACAGCATCATTTGCTGCTGCTGCTGTAACTGCTGCTGTTGCTGCAGATGGAGAAGGGCTGGGTTTGCAAAAGCAGAATTGGCCATTTCAAAAGGATTAGAACCTCTTAGTTGTTCTCGAGGTGTTGAAATAAGGCACAAAGAATTTCCGGATACAGCTCCGTGGGGTGTATGTACACCTCGCTGCTCGGGGGCGAATTGCTGCAGCAGTTCTGGAGGCTGGTGTGTGACTTCACTCATTTCATATTTTTCCAGAAAGAAGAAGACAGAAAAATGCGAGGAAACCTTTCTGCACCGGGGTCTCTCCCCTGTGCTTCTGGGGTGTACAGACAGCAGAAGCAAACGCAAGGCTGCCTTCTTCTCTTGGTTGCTGTTTCTGCAAGAGTTTGCAAGCAGATTTTACGCGGGGAGAAAGAATGGATCAACGAATGCGCCGTTCGTCTGGCAGGTAAGAGTTGCGGGTACATCTGCACCAAGAAGACTCAGCCAATAGAAAGAAGAAAAGAAGTGCTGAAGGTAAAGAGATTTTATTTGTCTCTCGCTTCTCCCAATCATATACAGCCGCGAAGGAGGCAAAAACGACGAAAATACTCCGGCGGGTGTTTTAAAGTGCACGAACATAAATTAGTCAATTCAATCGAAAAAGACAAATATTTTAATTTCCATAGTCTTTGCTAAACACTTTGCTTTCTCTCCTGCGGGTCGAAGACTCTGGCGGCCGCACAGTCGGCATCATCTCTCCGCTGTTTTCTTCTAAATATTTTTAAGGAAATAGTATTATTGCACCACATTTATCGAAAATAAATGAAAGAAAAGATGAAATGTCCTGAGAAACCCTCGCGAAGTCTACTCACCAACCCCGCCCGCTGCGGCGGCGACGGTGTCGATACACCCCAGCAACAACACCCCACACGCCCCCATTACCCTGTCTTTCGTGCGAGTAAAGTTTTTTTTCTTTGCACTACTAACAACCCGTTTAAACAAATTCATTTTAATCCAAAAAAAATCTAAGAACCATCCAATAAAGCTCCTATTAAAATAATCTTACGCGACAAGCAAAAACCCTTCAGCATACAAATCAATCATGCACAGGAGGCACTGAGTGCACAGAGTGTCTCTCTTCAAAATAAAAGGGAGATTTTTGCGTGTTTAATGCGTGTTATTAATAATCAGAATATTTAAAAGTAACAGATGGTCTGCTGTCTTGAGGCAAATTACTGTGTTTGCCCCCTGTAAGGCCTGATAACAACCCCGAAGCTGGCGGAAGAATACTTCCTTGGTCTTAGTAGGCAGTCAGGAAGCAAACAAGTAGAAATATAACAACTGTCTCCAGTGCTAGCATCGGCACTAAGAAGGGGGTTTGTTTACGTGTGCATTGGAAGGTGTCTCCCAGCGTTGCTTGCAACACCGTGCGCTGCACTTCGTCTTAGCCGTCCTCTTCTTCTGCCTTTCCAGACCCTTAGAACAGTCCATTCAGAACGTCTGGGGATTGTAGATGAACTCAGCTAAATTTTAACAATTCTTCCCTAAAGTCTTTCGAGCTGATTGTAGCTTATGATGCACTTCAAAGAAGGCCGAGGGCTCACCTTGCACATGATAACGTCGCACGCTTCATCGGGACGGGTGCAAGCAAGCAACACCACCCCAAACCATCTTGTACGGGTGTATAGCAATTAGTAATACAGAAAGCCCTTCTAAAGAATGCAAGAAAGTCTTCAGATACTTCTTATTATCTTCATCGAAGCCTCACACTCTCCCTCTCCTATAGTGAAACCTTCTCCAGAACTGCCCTCTGCTGGGAAGCGGCCAACATGCACGCTCCTTGGTGTGTACAAGGCCAACGGCAGACACGAAACATTTTTGTATTGATCATGCATGCGATGAAGATCTCCTCTCGTTGAAACCATCTCATTGTCTTCATTCCACTCACCGAGAAGAAATGTTTCTAGCAAAGAAAAAGCAGTTAATGCAGCATGCGCCTGTCTTTACCCAGCCTCCAGATATGATTAGCGCTGCGACGCAGATGTAGGGGAAGATTTCCATACTTATCTGGAATCTTATATTCGTATCCAGATTGTGCTTGAAGATGTACAGCTGCTATTAGCATCTGCTTCATTAGAAAGGGAGGCACAAGAGCGGTGGTTAGATGTCAGGAACTGTATTACTTTTCTGCAACACATCCGGACTATGGAAACTTTGAAACAAGCGCTCTGCCAGAGCTAAAAAAGCCTAAACAAGAGAACTCATCAATGCACTGCTACATCAGAAGCTGCAGTCTTTGGTGAACACTACTCCAAAGGTGGGCTGGAAGCTTCTATGCCGGTGGTTCGTCGCAGGGCTGCCCCCGTATAAGGGCAACTGGCAGCAGTCTAACAGGTGAAACGATGAACTTCACAGAGATGATGGAATACTATCTCATTAAAGAAAGAAAAAACGCCGATTCTTCCAGCCTAGCTGAGAATGAGAAGAGCAGGCTTAACTCAGTGCTGATGCAAGTTTGTATTAATTTCCAGGGGTTGTTAGTGCTACTTAGCAAACACTGCAAAGCGGATCTGATCTCTGAACGGTGAGGACGTACATCCCTCCTGTCTACCCGCTGGCGCATTCTGTTCAACTACGCTGCATGCGCGGCATGTAGAATACGAGAATAAGTATATACGAGAACAAGTAAAACTGTAGAACCAAAGTTCGAGACCCACTAAAAAATGAGCGGTACTGCCATTATACGGTGCTTTTGCCTTGGACTAATCCACCGAGGGAGAGTCAATGATGAGCATTCATGCTTTCTCTATAAGAAACCGTTGAGGTCTACCTTCCGGTAGTCAATGACAAGTTGCACCATTCAGTGCCCGCAACAGCATTTGCATGCTATCAGAAAAGCAGTAGAATCATGTGCCAAGCAGAAAATAAAAAGTCAACGCAACGCAAAGGTACTTCAGAAAACGACGAAGAATTGCATGCACTCCATTGCAGTGGTCTTCCGAAAACCGTAACCCTGGGTAGTTCGATTCATTGAACACTTAAGGCGTGGCATAAGCGGACTCAGTTAGAAGAAGAATTTTCAGGCGTACTGGACAACAAGAATCTTCCAGCGGGCCGTGTTCACCGCATCGAACTCATTCCCGAACAACCCCCAACGGTTGTTTCAAGCTACTGGCACACTTGAAGATAAAGCCGACAGGAAAGGGAAGAGCTGCTAGTGAAATAAGAAATTCAACTGTCAACTACCCGCTTTGGGGACAACCTAGTGTTGGGATAGAACATGGAATGCAAGTGGCTCATCTGTGTCACGATGAAGCAAAAACCTCCGATATACCCGATCGGCAAACTACTTAACTGCTAGCATAACTCAGCAGTGCATTTATCATTGGACCTCGCTGAAGTAGTTATGCAGGTCCCATTACATCCCGATGACAGGCACAAGCGTGCTCAACCTAAGTTGAGGCATCGTTTAACCTCTCGGTAACAGTTGTGCCCGTCACACGTCAAGAAGGGACAAGAAGCCCGTTACTTTGAGACCAAAGAGAAAGAACATCAAATCATCTTCTGCTCTTCTCGATGTGTGTAGTGCACGAACACCATATTCAATTGTATGGGCCTAAAATTGCTTTCAGTATAAAATATACATATAAATACGAAGCCATAAATGCGCTTATGTTTAATCCCTTCTTTTTGTTTTCCTCGTTAGTGCACGAATGATTTTTTGAGAAATGCTCCGTGGGGCTATCAACATTCTCTCCCGTTACCAAGAGTAAACTAAAAAAAAGATAAAAGGTTTTGACTAGATAAAAACAGCAAAATATATATCAATTGCTGGATTAGAAAGAACTTCGTTTGTGGCTGGGCATAGGCTGTGTGGGGCCTCGCATTGCATGCAGGTTGCGGGGCTGGGGCTCCGCCGGGTTTGTTGATGAGGGGTTCTGAGGAAATAGGGTAAAAAGAGTTGGAAAAGACGGCAGTGGCTTTATCTCTTTGAGATATTCTGTTCTTTTTCTCGATTTTTTAAGGCCACTCAGCAGACAAAAGAGAAAATGGTAAGGCTGCTACTCCTGTCGTTTCAGTCTTCCGCACCGCCTAACGGCAGAGCGTGTGGGGGATATCGTTTTTTCCTTTCTTTTTCCGGGATATTTATTCGTAAACATTATTTCCTTTTGTTTATTTGGGATTAAATTTTGTTTTTATTCGTCCGTTTCTGCTGCGGTGACTGCACCTCCCCCTCGTGCGGGGAGCGCGGCCGCCAGGAGGTTGCAACAGATTCATGCAGAAGTAGATCGAAGACTCTGTACCTTTTCAAAATAGACGAAGTTTAGCTATGTCCTCGATGCATATGTGCAGTATTTTCTTGCTTCTCAATCTGGCTGCTGTGGGTTTAGTAGTTCAGTGTTCAGGGTTTGGGTCTTGTCGTCGGCCTGTTCTACTGCATACTTTCACTTGAAATGAGGGCTTTCTTTGACGCTGCTGTCCTTTCACCTTATTGCGTCGCCAACTGCCTGCATGTATCGGCTGCTGCTGCTGCTGCTGCTGCTGTGTGCAGGGGATCGACTTGAAGAACAGGGGCCGTACTAAGAAGCACGGAAGACGGGCCCTCGTCTCCGAGAACCCCTACCTTAGGCTGGCCGTCAAGGTAGGCGCATTAATGCTGCATTAATGTTGCTGCTGCATGCATGCGTTAATCCATGCATGCATGCATGCATGCGTCAGCTGTTGTTTCAACATAAGCAGCAGAACGACAACGCCATTGGAGTTGCTTTCAGATTTGACGAAGTGTTTGGGATATATATGAATGCGTTTACACACAAACTTTGAGATAACGATGTGTAGATTATAATTTATATAACTTTAATTATATTTCGTATATAATATTCCATCTAGTACTATACATAGTATGTGCATATAAACCAGTGGGTGCTGGCTTTGTTTCTGCATCTGCTTCTGCACGAAGAGGCCTTTGTGTAGTTTTTGTATTGGTTGCTCTTTGCTTATTATTTTTTTTTTGTTTTCCTTTGCATTCATATCTCCTCGTGTGCATAAGAAGATGCAACTGTGTTTGTTTTTTCTTCTTGTTCTTAGCTGTATCAGTTCCTCGCCCGCCGCACCAACAGCGACTTCAACAAAGTTATTCTGAAGCGGTTGATGGCGCCTCGCCGTCTTCGGGCTCCTCTGTCTCTCTCAAAGTTGAGCATGAGAATGAGAAAAGAAGAAAATAAAACTGCTGTTGTTGTCGGCAGCATCGTCGGTAAGCAGAGAAAAAAACCTCTTCCTCTCCATTAAATAAATGCTTTTAATATGCTTACGTTTATTTCTGTTGGATGCAAGCAATAAATAATTATTTGTGTAGATTCACCGTCTTTATAGACGATCGTCGTGGGCATGATGTCTGTCTTTGCTTGTTTATTTGTTTGTTTTGGTTTGTTTTTATGTGCGTTTCTGTTTATTTCCGTCGAATGCACTTAATTTACTTTGAACAGCATTCATTTGAATCAATTTGTTTTACCCTTTTCAATATTTACAGATAATTGTCGCACTCTGGAGATCTCAGAACTGTTTGTTTCTGCTTGCTGTATTCGTTGATCTTTGTTTGTATTTGTGTATGTTTCTGTGCATTTCTCCTTATTGCCGCTGAATTGAATTAAATCAAATTAAATGGATTTACATGGATATGTTTTCTTGCCTCATTTGCAGATGTTCATCTTCGTCTTTGTGCATGCTTCTTTGCATTTCTCTTTTTTACTGCTGAATTAATTGAATTAAATGGCTTTATATGAGTTTATTTTCTTTTATTCTTTGCAGATGATCCTCGCACTCTGGAGATCCCGAAGATGTCGGTGTGCGCACTGCGTTTTTCTGAAACTGCACGCAAGCGTATTGTTGCGGCTGGAGGCGAATGTTTAACATTTGATCAGTTGGCTTTGAAGGCACCAACTGGCTCTCACTGCGTTCTCTTGAGAGGCTCTATCTTGAGAGAAACCGACAAGCACTTCGGGCCGGCACCAGGTATATACATATATATATATATGTATATATTATGCATATGTATGTATGCATGCATGTATGTATGTATGCATGCTTGCTGTTTTGGTGCTCCTGCTCTCTAGCTTTGTGAGGTTTCGTTTGGGGGTATTTGGCTTTGTTTCTCGGTTTTATCGTCTTTCTGATGCCTTCTTCTATGTATTGGTTTAGTCTTTTGCTGGTGCTGTTTTGGATCTCTTATTTGTCTTCTTACAATGTTGGGCCTGTTTCTGAATTTACTCTATACCGTCTTCCTCTGATTGTTGTTGTGTTTGCACTTGAAGTTTGCATCTGCGATGTAAATTTTTCTGTCCGTCTGCTGTATTTAGAGCAGCATTGTTTATTGCATATAATTTTTCGTTTGCTACTGCTGTTATGTGCATGCATGCACTTGATGATGCGTCGTCGTTCAGCTTTGCGATTCTTGTTTTTCTTTCTATATCCTGTCTTGCCCTTGCGAAGACTCTTGTTGAGTAGAACGACTAATATAATATTTTTAAAAATACTATTTAAATACTTGTTTTCTTTGTTTCGTTTCTCAGGCACACCGCACTCGCACACCAAGCCGTACGTCCGATCGAAGGGAAGGAAGTTCGAAATGGCTCGTGGAAGGAGAAAGTCGCGAGGATACAAGAACTAAGATTGCAAATAAAAAGAATAGAACTAAATATAGAAATAAAAATACAACAACAACAATCAGAAAGAAAGAGCAGAGCAGCAGCAATAGCGGTAGCCGCTGCATCTTTAAAACGATTCCTCTCAATACAAGTGCTTGTATGAGAGACGTCTTAATAAGCAGCAGAACGTTGAAATGTATTATCGTCTTCATTACTCATTGCAGTAATAAAAACGGCAATATTAAACAGTATATTGCTGCTGCTGCTCCCAGACAGAATAATAACTTCTTTATCATAATGATAATCTTATTATTCGTACGGGCCGCCGCTGCTTTCACACTGAGAATGAAAATTTAAAACTAAAAGTGAGAGAAACGGCGACAGAGGCATTGGTTGTGTGCGTGCACGCGGCGTATATACGCCGAGGGTAGATCCAGTTTAGAGTGCAAATTGAATTAATTCTTTAGCATAAGAAAAGTAGTTGTAGGTTGAGTGAAGACAGATAGCGGTAAATACAAAAAAGCAGATAAAGCCGCAAGCAGTTGCAACTCCCTCATAAGATTATAATTTTGCAGGCTTTCTATTTCTCACCTGCACGCGATAACGCACCCAAAGTAATTTAATAAACAGGAGGAGGAACAGCGCGTACATATATATATATATATATATATATATATATATATATATATATATATGGTAGGCCTTGTACACCGCATGCAGCTGATCGTCCTTTATACTGTACAAATAATTTAAACGAGCGAAATGCCATTATTTTGACTTTTGAAATTATTTATATTTTCATTCGTACGAAATACCCCCTAAAAAATTGCGAGGGTCGGGCGCTGAGCCTGCGGCAGCAAATCAAAAGAAAAACGAAGTAATAAAAAGCAAATATTTAATTTTAATTATTATTTATTGTGTAGTTGCTGTTTATATATTGTATACATATTATTGCTACTGTCTGCATTACTCTATTAAGGTGCAGTTCGCCTACACCTTAAGATCTGCTGCACTTGCAACATCTGCATGCTCCATTAACAGGGGAAAACCCGAATTAGACAAAATGAAATAAAAACGAAGAAAGAAAATAAAAAAGAAAATAAAGTGAGGGGCTAACTGCAAGGAGAGAAATCGAAAGCAATTCAAAAAGGAATGATATTGAGTGTATAAAGGAAGGAAGAAGAAACAAACAAATTAACAGAAGAGTAATTAAGTACATAAAGAACAATTACGAAGCATGAAGCGATAAATAAATGAAAACAGCAACAAAACATTATAATATATATGTATACATATATATATATATATATATTTAAAAAGTAAATGCAGAGACAAGCAAATAAACGAAACAAACAAATAGCCAAGTACAAAAATAAACAAATAAATGAACAAGCGAGAAAACCAACAAAAAATGAAGAAATGCAGCAAATAAAAATGCCAAACAAAGCAAACAAGTAAGTAATTCTAAATCCCCCTCAATAATGATAATACTAATAATGCAAATTAATACAACAAATAAGCAAGCAAGCAAACAAAGAAATTAAATAAGTAAATCTACTTTATAAATAGTATTACCAGAGAAGGTAGCATTTGAAAAATCGAAGCCAGGGTGCTGAGAAACAAAAACACAAAAAAACAAATACAAGCGAATTGCAATAAACACATAAACATGCATGCGAAACATACAATAATAATAATAGTAATATTATTACTATATATTATAATAATAGTAAATAATAGGAATAATATTAATAAATATGGTAATAATGATGATAATAAATAAAATAATGATACCAAATAATAATAATGAAATAATAATAATGAATATAGTTATAATAATTATTATTTATTATTAGTATTATTACTACTATTGCGATATAGATGAATAGCCGTACAAATACACAAACTCACCTCCTCTCCAAACCTCTCTAGCATTAATTTCTTCTGCACTTCTTCCTGCAGCACCGCGCAGAACGAAAGCCTTTCGCGTATAGATATATTAAATTATATATATATTTAAAAAACAGCTATTTGCACATTCAAAAAATATTCAAATGTATGTAATTATAAAGCAGCAAAGTTAAGGAGAAGGTCAGCAAGAACAAATGCTCTTAATAATAACCGTGTTTCTACTTTAATGCGATTCATATATATAATATTAATAATAATAATGATTTCTTAAGACGTTTAATTTGCATGCAACTCCAACAAATGCAAATACTAACATGTGCGCTTCTACTCCTGACATTCCAAACAAAACATTTCTAAAAAGTAAACAAAAACATAAATACAAATGCAAATATATATTCATACACGCCTACAAACGGTGTATCTACATCGCCACGTACAGACATACATAGGTAAGATGCATACATATAATAGTTTACAGCTATGCATGTTAGCATGCGTAGATATTACCTAAATTCTTTTAAAATGTATACAATAGAATATATGCTATGCATATAATATATATATATAATGCAGGTAGTAATAATGCAAACAACCAATAAAAAGACATTTATTTGAGTCAAAATCCACAAAAAGGATTTCTCCAGCATTGTTAGAACACCACTTAAACCTCCCTCTGTTGCTGTGTCAACGAATTCACATTCAATCAAACAAATAAATAAATAAACAACTAAGCCAGTAAGAAACAAACAAATAAACAAATAAATAAACACTTTATTTATTTTATCTATTTATTTATTTATTTATTACCTTCGCCAGAGGATTTAAGGCAGCGTGCCCTTTGAGTACCGACTTCCAAACTTCGCCTTTACGCATTTTCCCCAGCTGTATATGCAGCTCCCCATCCTCTGATAATCCATTTACAAACAAAACAGAAAAACTAGTATTATACATATAATATTTTATTACTATTATTAGTAAATATAATAAAGATATTCACTATGTGCTTGGGTATTATCAGCAGAAATCCAAGCACTAACCTGCACCCATGAATAAAAGGGTTTTTCTATATTACAGCTTTAAAAAAAATAACAAAGGAGAATTATTCAAAATAAGAACAACAAAAAACATCAAGAGGGCGCCGGCTTTTCGCGGTTTGTTATGTGTTGAAATTCAATAAAAGATGTTATGCTCATAGGAAAAGATGCTCATACAAAATCACATGAAGACTTTCTCTATAAATCAATATATATAAATATAAATTATATATTATGTATATTACATGCATGCAGTCTGAAAAATATCACTGAGGGCCTAAACATCAGAATATTCCAAGCAAATTATGAACGCCTTTATTTATTATGTTGCATGCAAATTAGAAAATATTTGAATAATCATTTTGCCGTACCCAACATCCAGAAAGAAGAAGACGTTTCTACAGTTGATGAGAGTTCCTCCTGAAGGAAGAGAGAAAAACAAATGATAGAATCTTAATATTATATTTAATTCGATAGTTAATTAATTAATAAGGAGCTAATTAATTAATTAACTAATTACTTGGCTTCTTCTTCTAAAGAAATATATAATCTGCATAAGTAAGTGAAATGATCAAATTGCATTTACAGCAGCAGCTGCTGAACAGCACAACAACAGGGAACAAACAATAATATTAAATAGATAAATAAATAAATGAATAATAATACCAATAAATAAAAAAGAACAATAAATAATAGTAATAATAATAATAATAGATAACGATAATGATATTGACAAGGATAATAATAATCAATAAGAACGATCGTAAGCAATAATAATAGTAATAATAAAGAAGATACGATACGCATAATAACTGGCAACAAACCACCATTTCTGTACTTCCATAGGAAGAAACAATGAAAAAGACAAACTAAATCCTTTCTCTTCTCGCGTGCTTATTTATGCAGCAGTAGCTGCAGCAGCAGCTACAGCAGCATCATTGTTATTCAATGGGTGCATTCGCTATAGAAATCAACCCTCTATTTCCTACAAGTTTGAAGGCGAAAGACCTAAGAAAAGGTAATCGTCTTTAAAATAAGTATTAGTACATGATTTTTTGTGATAAACACCCTGGCGGAATATCATCATACATTATCATTCAATCAGCACCATCATTGCATGCAATGTTAAGATGAACAACACCAAAATATAATATTCTACAACAGCATCACCGTATATTGTTTAATAGTGCGCATCATCACTCTATGATATTTAATGATGAACGTCTTCATAACAAGTGCCTTACCAAAGAGGTGATTAATTACAAACTTTATCTGCTTATTATACCTCCCTGTGTATGCAGCTGAGGTGTGTGCTTGTCAGGATAGTTCTTACATCGAACAAAGGGGGTTTTCCTATCAAACCAACTCGTAGCCGATTTGGGTGAATTTGGATTTGAATTTCTTTCGCTTTTACTTGCGGGGGAGGGGCGATATACATATGAACGTCTGACAAGTCTTGCTCCCATTCGTACAGCAGGCGGCCTGAACACATAAAAATTGCATTATTGATCGCAGGTAACCTTTTGTTTTCGGTTTATTTTCACTTACTTACTCATTCATTTATTCACATTTCTGCTTAATTCCCTACTTTTCCCAGTTTCAGCTTACCTTCATGATGAACAGGGATGCGCCCGCGAGCCGCCTCAACTACCGCTTTCTGCATGTCTGGCACTTTCAAATGCGTTTTCAACACCTCTGCTACTTCAAAATCGTAAACAAATGAAACAAAATAAAACAGTGCTCAATGAAAACTCGAAATTCAAAGAGCTGAGACCTGCACAAAGAACAGCCAACAACGGGGCTGCTGGGGTTGTGCTGTTACCATGAAGCTGCACGTACACCCAGTGACGTTGTGTTCACATCTTCCTATTATTTCCCCTTGATATTCATTGAAAAAGGGAATTCTTCTAGTCAATTTGAATAATTTGTATTAACTTGTTATTTTAGGCACGGGATCACCAGCCCTGGGGTCTTCATGCGGCTACCGCTGAACGCATCGAGAGTTCAACAGCTCGCGATCTTTGGAAGGGAAAGAAGTGTCTGACCCTTCGTGTTGTTTTGAATTACATTTGTTTTCAGATGAAGAAAATAGAAGAGAAAACATAATATCGCAGCGGTTACAAGGCAGAAGATCTTTTCTTCCTCTGATCGTGGGGTGGGGCCTCCAGGCCCTTTGGGGGCCCCAGTAGAAATTTCATCTTCGTATTTTTCTCGAGGCATAGATAGAAGAATTGAGGCAGTGAAGGATTGAAATAGAAGGCGTTTTCCGCCTTCATTACTCCTTGGGTTTCCCCGGGTGTACGTACACCGCGCTTCGCCGCGTTCCTTCAAGATGCAGAACGACGAGTTGATATGGAACGTGATCAACAAGCACTTCTGTTCTTTCAAGAGAAAGACAGACAAAGAAGATATGTGCAGCAATCAGTACAACGTAACAGGCAAATGCAACCGCGTCAGCTGCCCCCTAGCCAACAGCAACTATGGCACAGTTCTAGAGAATCAAGGGAAGCTGTATCTTTGTTTAAAGACAGTAGAGAGAGCTCATCTCCCCAATCGCCTGTGGGAGAGGATTAAACTCTCAAGAAATATATCTGAGGCGAAGAAAACCATTGAAAAACACATGAAAAACGTATACCCTCAACATCAGATTGAACGCTGCAAAAGGAGAACAATCAAACTCAAACACATGATCGACAGAATGCGCAAACTCGAACTCAAACCCAAGTCCGTCAGCAGCAACAAAAACAGCAGCAGTAGTAGCAGCAGCAGCAATAGCAGCACCAGCAACGGGAGAGGAACAGCCACAGCACCGGCAGGAGCAACGGCTGCGGCAGCACAGCAGCAGCACACTGCAGCAGCACTCTGCAGCTGCACACTGCAGCAGCAAAACGAAGGCTCTCTCTATGTACGTCCATTAATTGCATGGTGGCGTTGCATTTGTTGTTTGTCTTCTTTGCTTTGTGTTTAGAGAGAAACTAGAAGGGGTTAAAAAGAAAACAGAAAGAAGGGAAGCAGCAAGGGAAAAGAAAGCCCTCGTCGCAGCCCACATCGAAGATGTCATTGAGGACGAACTCCTCAAGAGATTGCACCAAGTCAGAACAATTCACCTGCTGCTGCTGCTTTTGCTGCGGCTGCTGCTGTTGCTGATGCTGCTGCTGCTGAGCTGTTAGTGCTGAGCTGCTGCTGTTGCTGCGTCGTTGGGTTTGTTGCTTCTGCTGCTTTGTTGTTGCTGCTGCATAGTTGGTTTGTTTCCGCTGCTGCGTTTTTGTTGCTGCTGCTGCGCTGTTGTGCTGCTTCTGTTGCTGATATTTTTTTGTCTTCTTTTTTGGCTTTGCTTGTTGCAGGGGGTGTACGGGGATTTGTACAATGAACACAGACTCACGAAAGAAACAACTCAAGAAGAAAAAGAAACGCCAGAAGTAACAACAGCAAAAGCTGCAGAGACAGGTACACTCTCTTTCTTTCCTCCCTCTTATTCTTCGGTTGAAGAGAGTTCAGTTTTATTTTCATTCATTTTTCTTGAACCAGTGAAGCTGGATAAACATACATATATATATATATATAATTATATAATATATATATATATATATTGCGGAAGTTCCTTGGGACTTCACTCCTCTATGCATTGCTCAATTACGTTGTTCCTTGTATGACTTTTTTGAACGCGGATTCTGCTGTTTTGCCTCTGTCATGCAGTATATAAATATGTATAATAGTATGATATACATATATATATAAAATAGAAATCGTACGATTGCGTGTTTGCACGTGACTAGGATGACGTGTATGGATTTGCTTTAGCATTGTTGAGGTGGATCCTTTAACATTTACCCTGTGTATTTGTATTCTCTGTTTCCTGCCTCCGCTGTTTTTTATAAATTTATATAAATATGTTGCTGCACATTTCTCCATGTTTTCAGGCGCCATTCGATTTGAAGCTGCTGCGGAGACAGACGAAGAAGAATTTGCTTCTTCAGACTTTGAGTTGGATGATGATCTTGAGGGCTCGTCAACAGAAGGGAGTGAAGATGAGTTTTCTTTTTCAGGCTCAGGTTCTGAATTAGAGGAAAGTGAATCAGAAGTAGAAGATGAAGACACAGCAGAAAAGCCAGCAGCAACAAAAGGAAAAAAGAAAGAACTTCTTGTCGATGTAGAAGAACTCCAAGCACCAAGTAGTATTCAGAAGAAACGAAAAGCCGCAGCAGAAAGAGAAAGCAAAGAAAAAAGAGATGTTCCTGTCTCTACTTTGCGCAGACAAGCAGCAAAAAGTAAGAAATAATCGTTCGCTATCTTATCGCAGTGAAAATACTTTAAAACACTTTTAAAATGTTTTCATTTTAGAGCGAATTTCCCTCATTTTTTTCTGCTTCTTGAATGCGCCGTCTGAGGTGTCTGTACACCTCCGTGTTTCTGTTGAGCGAATCGTCATTTATTTCTTTTGTTTTCTTCTTTGTTTTTCTTGTCATGATATGTGGCTATCTTTTGCTTTCTTTTTGTAAATATTTTATTTGTTTTCATTTCGGTTTTGGTTTGCTTCAGGGAAGAACACGCGAATGCGTATTGAGTATGAGCCGGAGGCTATTGCTGAAGAGGCCTGAAGACATTGTTAATATATATATATATATATATATATATTATATATATATATATATATTAACAATATCTTCATTATCACTGTTTACCCCTGATTTCCTGCTCTTTGCGTTTAGACGATGTATGCATTTTTTCTGCTGATATGCATGCATTCCCTTTACGCATCTCTTTTTCTTCTCTTTGCTGCTGTATGCGCATATATCTACTCTACAACTGTTGCTCGCTCGGTCTTGTTGGGATTTCATTTATACTATTTGGTATTCGTTTAATTTCCCCTATTTAAACTAACTCTTGCTCTTCTTCTGTTTGCTTTTTCTACATCGATTTATAAACTGTTTTTTAGACTTTTCCTTTTCAACATTTATCTCCTTACTTCGTCTGTACGAAACCTAAACGAACTCCCACTTCAGTCCCGCGGTGTCCCACGATTAAGCAAAAGCATAAATTCTACCTAGTTTATACATATATATATATATATATATTCCTAATAATACTACTAGCTATACTGAACCGCAGTTCGGGCCAGTAGACCCAAACAAACAGAACCAAAACCAAAGGCAAATTAAATTGCAAACTTCAAACGAAAAATTTGCCGTCCGCCACACATTTTTTTTGCATTGTTGCTTCTGACGGCTCTGCATGCATGCAGCAAGAAGAACAATTGATGGGCCTTATAATGGAATATGCCTAATATATATATATATATATGTATAGTTATATATATACATATTTACTTAGTATATATATAGACAATATAACAATACATGCTCTAGTTTCGAGAAGAGCATGCAGTTCAACATCAGTATTAAGTACGCAGAATGCAACTCGTGTTAATGCACAAATCATGCAACTAAATAGATTATATGTATGTATACATATATAGAAATATACATTATATATATACAAATATATAAATATACATTATATATATTATACACACATGCATGATGCAATAAATTTCATAAGAAAACCGCGTACATATCTTCCCGTTTATGCGTCAACATACAAGGTGTATAATAAACATAATATATATAGTTTATTATATTAATATATATATATATATATATTTTATACACCAATGCATATACTATCACAGGACGCGAGTGAAATTTGGGTGTATTGCTGCTGCGGCTGCGCAGCAGCAAAATGAAGATGGCGCTGCGCGATGTACTTCGGCATCTCTAAGAGCTGCTGCAGTTGCGCTGCTGCTGCTGCTGCTGCTGCTTCTGCTGCTGCTGCTGCTGTGGCGACAGAAGCGGAGTTTGCATGGGTGCGTAGTGGCGATACATGGGTGCGTAGAGGAGCTGCTGCTGCTGATGCAGCAGCAGCTGCTGTTGCTGCTGCAGCAGCTGCTGCTGCCTCTGCTGGTGATAAGGCCGCTGCTGCCACGTTGCTGTGTCCGGCGGAATAGGGGCGAATTGCTGCTGCAGCAGTTGCTGCTGCAGCTGCTGCTGCTGCTGCAGTTGTTCTACAAGGGCCTGGGGCGCTGTTGCACCAGTGGGGAAGACCGCAGCAGGAGCTCTTGCTGGCAGGGCCCCCCTGCCTGCTGCTGCTGCTGCAGCAGCAGCAGCAACATCACCTCCTGCTGAGGCTGCGAAGTAAGAAGGACCCGCAAAATAAACATAGAAAGGCAGCAGCTGCTTCATGCTGCTCCATTTGCTGCAGAAGATAATCACAGAACTCCACCACGCCGCAAGCGCCACCATAAGCCAGCCTGAAGCAATGAAAATATTATAACTGTTGCTTTCTAAGTGGCTGCTGTACATGCTGCTGCTGCTGCTGCTGCTGCTGTCTGCATGCACCTGCCCCGCTGTATAGGCAACAGAAGCAAGAGTTAGTGCTGCATCGTAGCAGCCATGCAGCAGCCCCGGAAGCAACGCGCTCTGCAGCAGCAGACGGAAAGAGAAAGGCTTGAAGTCCTTTAGAACGGGGGGAGAGGGGGGTCTGCTGGTGCTGCTGCTGCTGCTGCTGTTGCTGTTGTTGCTGTCGCTAGAGACCTGCATTGCATGCGCCTCTCCAATGGTGTATATGCCGTAGCCACCACGATATGCTGCTTCTTCGGGGCTTCCTGCTGCTGCTGCATCACCCCATGGATAAGAAGCTCCAGCCCCAGCTGCTGCTGCTGCACTTGCTGCTGCTGCTGCTAACAAACAAGCAGCAATGCCGGTGTTTGCTGCATGCGATGGAATTGCTGTAAACGCCCTAAAAAACAAACAACAAACCCTAAACCCTAAACCCTACACGCTAAGCTACAAACCCTAAGAAACGACGAACACTGCATGAGATAATACACCCTTAGCACTAACCCTAAACCCTAAACCCTAAACCCTAAACCCCACTGGACATAAAAACAAAAAGATAAAACGAGAAAAAAACGCAAAGAAAAACAAATCGTCAAACACAACAACAAATCACAAAATAAAATAAGCAAAGACAGCGACCGGCAACAGCAAATAAATAAACGAAGACATCAAAAAGAAATAAACAATTAAATAAAGAAATAAAAGACGAAGGAAATGAATAAACAAATACATAAACAAATATATAAACAACATTACAACAATATGCAAACAACAAACAAACATAATACGCAAACAGAAGAAAAAGAAATATATTTAAAACAAATAAATAAAATGCATAAACAAACAAACCACCAACAAAGACAGCCCTAAGCAATGAAAAAGAATAAGCAAAAAAACGACAGACAAACAAACAAAAAAATAAAAGAGAAACAAACAAACAAATAATTTATTAATGAGCAAATAAAAAATAAAAAACAAACAAACAAAAGAAGAACAAATAAACAAATAAAAAGCAAAAAAATAAAGAAAAGAGGCAACGTTAATTAATTCGTTAATAAACAAATAAAAAAGAAATAGAAGAGAAATAAACAAACAAAATAAATAAATAAATAAATAATTATATATAACAGCCATACCTAACCCATGCAGTAGCCAGGGCTACCTCCATATCGGACTTCGCCGCAAAAACATAACTCAAATTTTCAATCGTTGCAAACCTAAACAATGCATGCACGCAGCAACAGCAGCAGCAGCAGCAATATAAACAGCAGCAGCAGCAGCAGTAGTAGTAGAGGTGCTACTGCAGCAGTAGGAGCTGATGCTGATGCAGCAGCAGCAACAAATGTAGTAGAAATAATGAGAGCAGCAGCAAATGCAAATGCAGCAGCAGCATCAAACGCAGCAGCAGCTTCCCCAACAACCCTTCAGACCAACAACAGCAACAGCAGCAACAACAACAGCAGCAGCAGCAGCAGCAGCAGCAGCAGGAGACTCACCCCAAAGCAGCGCAGCAACCACCAACAACCATTGATAGTGGATGAGAAACATAATGATGAAAAGAATTCGCTTCCTTCTCAGCTTCAGCAGCAATCAACCTACCATACCCCCAAGGGGCCCCCATAGGGGCCCCCATGGGGGCCCCCACAGTGGCCTCTAGGGGCCCCCCCACAGAGGCCAATATGGGGGCCCCCAAGGGGGCCATAGGGGCCCCTATGGGGGCCCCTAAGGGGCCCCCTATGGAGGCCCCTAGGGGGGCCCCCAGGGGGGCCCCCAGGTTATACTGTTGGGTATTGGGCAGCCTTGAGGGTCGTAGAAGGAGCATAGCGGTGGCCTTAGAGAATTCTTCAGCGAAGCCGATGCACAATATCATATCTGAACAGAAAAAATAAACCCTAATAAACCCTAATAAGGGTTTGTAAACCCTAGTAAACCTAATAAACCCTAATGGGGGGTTGTAAACCCTCATAAAACCCTAATAAAGAATTGCAAACCCTGAATAATAGACACTAATAAACACTAATAAACCCCAGTCAAGACATAAGAATAGCAAGCCCTAATAAACCCTAAACCCCCCTTATAACCTGTCATAAACCCTTAAACCAAACCCCAAACCCTAAACCCTAAACCCTAAACCCTAGCAGCTAAAGCCTTTGCAGGGGAGTATGATAAGACTGACAGAGAAAGACGAAGAGAGTGCAGATATAAGGATTAAAAATGAAGTCCCTTCCTTCACCGCCAACTTTGCTAGACAAGTCGCCTCCAGTAAGAAGAGAAAGGAGGTGCCTGTACACCCCACGGCTTCGATAGCCGCAATCAACAGCCTGGGCCCCCAGCAATCCTCGCAGTAATAATCGAGACAAACCACTAAAAGAAAATGCTGCAGGGTCTGCTGCTTCTGCTGCTGCTTCTTCTCCTGCTGCTGCTTCTGCTGCTGCAGATGGTGAAAATGAAGTGCCTTGCAAACCCGAGAACTCCAAGTATTGCTGCAGATGCTGCTGCTGCTGCTGCTGCTGCTGCTGTTGCTGCTGCTGCAAGTATTCCTTTTCATTTGCATGCAGTGGTACAGGGGTGCTGCTTTGCAGCATTTTTTGCTGCAGCAGCAGCAGATCGCTTTGCTGTTTCATCAGTAGCTGCTGCTGCTGCTGCTGCTGTTGCTGCAGCTGCTGCAGGTAAGTGAATCCCGCTGTACCTGCAGCAGCAAACGGAGCTCTACTGCTGCTGGGAGGAGGGGCACAGCCTTTAAGCTGCTCAGCAAACAGCAAAGCGCTGCATATTTCTAAGCCTACCGCTAGCAGCACGCTGCAGACAGCCCCAAACGCAACCAGCTCCGCAGCTACACCCCAAGGCAAGCGACTGCGCCCAGCCAGACACTGCAGCCTGCAGCAACAAACAGTGCAGCAGCAAATGATGCAGCAAATAGCAGCAGCAGCAGCAAATGCAGTAGCAGTTCATGCAGCAGCAGCAAATGCAGCAGCACCACAGGCAACGTACACTCGGAGGATTGACTCACCCTCAAAAAAAGAAAGAAATGCAGCAGATGCAACAGCAGCATACATCCTTAAGCAACGAGCAGCAGCAGCAGCAGCAGAAGCACTTATGCATAAGCAAGAGCACCAGCACCAACCGCAACATAAGGACACGTCCATGAAGAGAAGGAGCAGCAAGAGCAGCAGCAAGAGCAGCAGCAGCAAGATCAGCAGCAATACAACGTTAATGATATATATGTGCTGCCGTACAGGCAAAGGAGAGCAAGGCCAGGGGTTAACGAAGCAATCAGCAGCTCTAGGCCTGGATAGCCTTTCATATGTACTGCTCCCAACACCTGTGCTGCAAGCAGCAGCAGCATGAAGCAATAAACAAATCCTCTCCGCACGACCTTCAGCAAACGCCAAGAACGCCGCTGCTGTGGTGCTGCTGCTGCTGCTGCTGCAGCCTCAAATGTAGCGACGTCGTCAGCTGCTGCTGCTGCTCCAGGAGGGCCCCCCAGGAGGGCTCCTGGGTCTGCTCGTAGATCCATTGGTGCTGCTGATCCTGCTGCTGCTGCTGCTGCTGCTGTGATGGTGGTGGATCGCGTGCTGCGGCTGCTGCTGCGGCTGCTGTTCTGCAGCTGCTGCGCTTCGTTCGGGTGTACGTACACCGGAAGACCCACCCAGCGGCTGGCATAAGAAGAACGTTTAGGGTTTAGGGATTAAGGATTAGGGTTTAGGGTTTAGAAGAAGAAGAATTAAAACAAATAACTGCAGCAACAAGCCATGGGTATAGGAATGATGCGCTACGCTGAACGACGAGCTGCAGCTGCGTTGCTGTTTGCAGCAGCTAGAGCGAGTTAGGGGTTTTTTTAAGCACTTTTTAATGAAATTAAAAGACAAATACTTCAAATATTAATTTATTTTTATCCAAAAGCCACAAGAAGACGATAGACTGAAGCACTCCTCAGCGCGCTCAGCTGCTGCTGCGGTTCCCGCTGCTAGTACTGGAGGTCTGCGGCTTCCCTGAATAGAAGAGAGAAGCAAAACTACGCAAAAAGACAAAATAAAACCCCAAATGCAGCACTTTTTAATTATTTTAAACAAACAAAACCTCAAAACCTGAATAACGAAGACGCCGCTGCATGCAGCAGCAGCTCTTCTGTCGCCCGCGGGTACTACATCAGCGGCTGAGAGGTAGCAGCTGCTGTTATCAAGAAATATGTGCATTTCTTGGAAGTTTTTCTTCATTTTTGCTGCGTAATTGCAATATTTAAATGTAAATTCACATTTTAAATGAAAAAACCTCTCTTTTGATGTATTTTAAATCACATTTGCCTTATACAAGCTACACACCGCTAATAGAGCGCTCGCTGTCCGGCTGTACGTTCAGCTCGCTGCACACAGCGAAGAGTAAAGAGAAAAAATTAAGTTAAAATGAATTTTAAAACTGTTTGTTTAAAACAAACGAGAGGAGAAGCAACGAGCAAACAGAAGAAGCAGCAGCCGCAGCAGCAGTACTGCCGCTCCTGCACACCCCAACATATCTTCCTGTCTATGTGCAGCTGCTGCAGCAGCAGCAACACCAGGTGCTGCTGCTGCTGCTGCTGCTGCTGCCGCATGCACCCGCGCTCCCACTGCGGAGCTAGCCTCAGCTAGCCACAGCTCGGTGCCCAGCTAGCTACAACAGGCTCAGACAGCTTAAAATAGGTGTAAATGAAGAAGAGCGATAGACAAAAAGAAAAGATATACAGACGAGAAGATATCAATGCACAAAGCAGCTAAAAAGCAAACTCTGCTGTCTCCAGCACAATTAGATGCAGGCCTTGAGAGGAAGACGAACTGTCTTCGTTGCTGTCTTTGTTGATGCTGCTGCTGCTACCTTTGTTGCTGCCTCTGCTACTGTCTTTATTGCTGTCTTTGCTGCTCTCTTTGTTGCTGCTGTTTGCTGCTTCCTCTGCTGCTGTCCTTGCTGCTGCTGCTGCTGCTGCTGCTGCTGTGGTTGTTGCTGACTCTGCTGCTGTCTTTGTTGCTGCTGTTGCTGCTGTTCTTGCTGCAGCTACTTTATTTTGCATGCAGTGGCACTGCAGGATTACCTGATGTTTTTATTCTCTTTGTTTATACGCTCGACCGCTATACCCCATTCACACCACCCAGCTGGCTGGCTAGCTAGCTAGCTATCCTGTAGTGTATAGTTGACTTGCTCGCAAGGTTCCTAGCTAGCTGCTAGCTAGGTGCTAGCTAGCTAGCTAGCTAGCTGGAGTGAATAGCGTATAGTTTATTTGCTTGCTAGGTGTTCAGCTAGCTGCTAGTTTGGTCGCTAGCTAGCTATAGGGTTAGCTAGCTGGGTATAAGAAGGTAATATAGAGGTGGTGAGTGTGGGTGTGTAAGTTTGAGGGCAATTGCAAAAAGAAATGCAAGAAGAAATAATGAAAGTAGAAATGAATGTTTGCTGAGGTGTATGTACACCGCAAAGCAATCCCATCTGCTTATAAAGAAATATAATAATATATTAATAAGCAGCGCTTAATGCTGTCTGCATACTGCTGCTGCGTACACCGCAGCCACAAGGCTGGGCTGTACAGACAGTAATACTTGCTGCTCTTTATACACCTGAGAGATCGGGCCTTGCTTAAGCCCTCTGTACGTATACCCTAAAGGGTTTACTCTTCTTTGCCTCCGCATGCATTTGAAGCAAACGCACGCATGCAATGTACATATTATATAATATATAGAACATAAATCTGATGTATACATAGACATATATATATATATATATACATATATATATGATAGTAAATATACAGTAAATATATTATTCTTACACATCTCGCATATATATGCATTCATACAACACTCCGCAACATTGAAAATTGCAGAATGTTCGTACTTTATCCTGAGGTGTACATACATACACCTGAGCCGACCTGTTGCAAGAATGGGGCGGAGCTGTTGACTCTCCAGCGAACCCAAGGACGATTAAATAATGCATGTATGCATGCAGTGTATATGCATGCATGCATGCATGCGGTGTAGCGGATGTCTGCGTGTGTATTCACTGCTCTCAATAAGCCAGCCCCAAACCTTAAACCCTAATAAACCCTAAACCCTAGAGCAGTACCTAACACAACAGCACCACAGCACGGCCTGGCGGAATGTACAGACGAGAGGCACCTAGGGGCCCCCCATGGGGGCCCCTGTGTGGTGGCCCTGCGGGCCCCCCCCTACGGAGGCCCCCCATGGGGGGCCCCTAGGGGGCCCCCCATGGGGCCCCCTGTGTGGCTTTGGGGGCCCCCAGTGGGGCCCCCATATAGGCCCCTGTGTGGTGGCCCTGGGGGAGCCTAGGGGGGCACCTGTGGGGCCCATTGGGCCCTCATTGAGGCCCCTAGAGAGGCCCCTGTGAGGCCCGGGGGGCCCCCAGTGGGGCCCCCATGGTGCCCCCTGTGTGGCCCTGGGGGCCCCCTAGTGAGGCCCCTAGGGGGGCCCCCAGGGGGGCCCCTGAGGGGCCCCTTGGTATTGGGTTTGCGGAAGGGAAGGTAGCGAAGAAGCAGCCTTGGGGTCTAATTAAAAGCAGACAAGGTCTGAAGCGAGATAAACGAAACTGCTGTTCTTCTAATATCTGCAACAACTTTTCTTTATCTTCTTCTAATACTAAACCCTTTGAAGCCGTGTCCTTCACCAGCTGGTAGCATACGCACACATACAACGCAAACCCTAAACCCTAAACCCTCATTAACCCTTAACCCTCATTAACCCTAAACCCAAATTAACCCTAAGCCCTCAGTAACCCTAAACCCTAATCCCTACATACTCTAAGTCCTAAACCCTAAACCCTTGGTCTGAACCTTAACCTGAAGCCCTGAGCTGCATACCCTAAACCCTAAACCCTAAACCCTAATCCCCAAACCCTCCAGCACCGTAAATCTCCGACGATAAGCCGTAGGCTCTCCCAACCCTCTCCCGAACCCCCTAAACCCTAAACCCTAAACCCTTGATTAGTGTTTAATGAATGATTTACCTTGATCTTGAGGTTGAGAAGCAGAGTTGCTGCTACTTTGCACACAGCAAAACGGAAGCAGTCGGGGTAACAGTCTCGAATATACAAAACAAAGCGCTTGGCAGATAATATCTGCTGCTTGTAGCTAGACCTAAAACCCACACATACAAACCCTAAACCCTAAACCCTAAACCCTAAACCCTAAACCCTAGACATTAAACCCAAAACCCTATACACTAAGCATTAAGCACTAAACCCTAAACCCTGAACCCTAAGTACTAAACCCGAAACACTTAATCCTAAACCCTTAACCCTAGAATGTTTAGAAAGGGGTGGTTATAGGGTTTAGGGTTTAGGGTTGTCGCTGTTGAACACGGATATAGTGTTTTGTACACAGGGTTAAATAGGGTTTACTTCAGAGTGTTTACGAGTACTAATGAGGGTAATTCAGGGTTTATATGAGGGTCTATATATGAGGGTAAATGAGGGTCTATATATGAGGGTTAATGAGGGTTAATGAGGGTTAATTAGGGTTAATTAGGGTTTAGGGTTTACAGGAGATCTTTGCCCATGAGGAGCTGCATGCTTCTGCCTCCTTTATCGAGTAGTTCTTCATGAACATCAACGAAAGCTAATATTTGTTCTAAGTCTCCTTGGCAGGCTCCAGCATTAAACAAAGAACGAAAAAATGCAGAAGGAAATCGGTTCAAAACGCAGCAAACAAAACTTCTTTGATACTGTAAACAGTGAAGACGCGACTGCAGTGTACTCCACTCATACTCAAACCCCGTCATGTTCTAAACAAACAAAACACACAAACAATAACTATATATATAAATATATATATGTATATATATATGCATGTATATATACATATATATATGTATATGTATATGCATATATATATATATATATGTATATATAATATGTATATATATATGTATATATATAAGTATATATATATGTATATATGTATATACATATATATATATATATATATGGGTTTGTATAGCGTGTTATTAATAAGGGTTTTATTATTACAAAGGGTTTTGAGTTGTGTATATTATTAATTAGGGTTTTAACTGCATATTATTAATAAGGGTTTAAATAATAATGAGGGTTTTAAGTTATGTATAGAAACAGTTTAATTAACAGCAAGGGTATCGAGGGCTTTGACAGCATAATATAAATAATAAGGGTTGAATAAATAATAGAATTTTGAGGTGTATATAATGAATAATAAGGGTTTTGAGGTGTATATAATGAATAATAAGGGTTTTGAGGTGTATATAATAATAAGGGTTTTGAGGTGTATATAATAAAAAGGGTTTTGAGGTGTACGTACAGCTCGTTTGCTTTTGGGTTTCTGTTGTTCTGCATCTTCTTGCAAAACATTCGCCCATGCTCGAATAGGGTTTTGTCTGACTTTGCCGACTGCGAAGTCATTAGCTAAATCTAAGCTGGTGTTTAAAGAGAGAAGAGCGCTTCCGCCTATACATTGTTTATGATAAAGGCGGTGATACATCTCTCTGCATGCATTAAATATCATCAAATATAACTCTCCTTCTCTCTCTTTACGTAGCACTTTACGTCGGCTGCTCCCAGCACCGCATACTTCACCTCCTTCTGTTGGGCGAGGAGACATTGGAAGCTGCATATACACCCCAAATAAGCGCAATAGAGTACAATATAACTGAGCATACACCCCAATTACACACATGCTACTGCTGCTGCTGCTCCTGCTGCAGGACACCAGCAGCAGCAAGAGCCAGCAGCAACGACAAACAAAAGCAGCACCAACAGAACCAGCAGCCAAGTGCGGCAGCAGCAGCAGCAGCAGCAACAGCAGCAGCAGCATCACCACCAACAGCAACAGCAGCAAGAGCAGCAAGAAGGTTTATTAATATTACCTCAAAATAGCTTTCTGAGCTCGCCAAGGAGAAGCTGGAACGAACTTGACCCGAAAAGTCAGTGAGGCCCCCAGTCTTTAGTGGCTGATCTTCTGCACCATCATCTGCTGCTGCTGCTGCTGCTGTTGGTGCTGCTGCTGCTGCTGCTGCTGATGTAGGCAGAGGCAGCGTCCTCTCCAAAGCCCTGATAGGAAGTGTTCGTGCTGCAGGCGTTCCAACATCTCCACCCTGCTGCTGCTGCTGCTGCTGCTGCTGCTGCATTTGCTGCTGCTGCTGCATTTGCTGCTGCTGCTGCTGGTGGCGCATCCACTCTCCAACAGCAACAGCAGCAGCAGCAGCATCACCCCCTCCGTTCCCAGGGGCACCAGGAGCACCAGCAGCAGCAGGAGCAGCACCAGGAGCAGCAGGAGCAGCAGCAGGAGGTGATGTTTTAAAAGCAGAAAGAGAAGACTTTTTAGAGTTGCAAGAGCTGCATACACCAAACGAAGCCTCAGGCCCCGGCGGCCCAAACTGATGCCGCGACCCCCGCAGCCCGACGCTCTTCCCGGACAACAAACGAAACAACTGCAGCAAATAACAAATATAAACAAATAAATATAAATATATATATTTATATATTATATATATTCATATCTATATTTATTTGCTTGTTACAGTGGGTTGGTGTGTAGGCGGATGCATATAGGCAGACAACACACGCAATAACTGCGACAGAAATTATATATACGCTTATATACATATGTATAAATCTTATATGTATATATCTTTATACATATATATATACAATGCATACATATATATATACATATACATATATATATATATATATACATATATATACACACATAAATATATATATTATATATATATTTATTTAAGCATTACTGCGAAATGCGGGTATTTAGGCGGATGCATCCATATGAACCCATACTTGTATGTTTATATATACATATAAAAACCTCTATGTATATATATAAATATAAACATATGCATAAATATATAAATATAGATATATACATATATATATGTATATATACTTAAACTTCAGGGTTTAGAGTTTCAGGGTTTAGGGTTTAGAGTATTAGGGTTTAGGGTTTAGGGTTTGATTACTCCTCTTTTATGTTTTCTTTGTTCAGCGAAGTCTCCCTCGGGGGCATCGCCGAAGATGAGCGTGGCGTCTGTATCAAACCTTCTTGCTGTGCTGTCTCTTCTCGGCTTCTGCATTTTGTCTGGTGTTAAAGGGTCCCCGTTGATGTTAATACTGACGCACATACCGTCTGCTGCAGCAGCAGGATAAGGAAAAGCCTTTGCTGCTGCTGCTCCTGCTGCTGCTCCTGTTGCTGCTGCTCCTGCTGCTGCTGCGCCTGTTGCTGCTGCCGCTGCTCCAGAGCTACCCCGATATATACCCAGCCCTGTCTTGCTCTTTGACAGCCTAGTAGCTAATGGTGCTGCTGCTGCTGCTGCTGCTGCTGCTGCCTTGTCGGACTCGCGGGGCCCAACAGTGCGGCTGCGTCGCAGGTGCTCTCCTGTGGGGTTTTCTGCTGCTGCTGCTGCAGCTGCTGCTGCTGCTGCTGCTGCACCACCGAAAATAGAGCCAGGGGTTCTGGGGTGTACAACGGCTTTTTTTAGGGTTGTAAGAGCTTTAGCAACAATATGTTTATCTTTTCTCTTATCCGCTGCTGCACCTGCTGCTGCTGCTGCTGCTGCTGCTGCTGTAGCAGCACCTCCTCTGCATGTTAACTTATAAAGCGGTGCTCTTGTTGCTGGGTCTCTGCCTTGAATCGTAACCTCTAACAAATCAATATTTTCTTCTTCTGCGCTGCTGCTGCAGCTGCCTTCATCTGAGCTTCTGCGGTGTATGTACACCTCCCGCTCTCCTGCATCTGTTGTCGCATGCTCTATTAACCTCAGATTAAACTTCGGGTCAAACCCCCGAGAAGAAGAAGGCTTCAAACCCTGACCCCGCGCTGCTAAGCTGTGCGCCTGTCTCTCCTGAATACAAATATATGCAATGTTACACTCAAACATATCCACTTCTGCTGCTGCTGCTGCTGCTGCTGGTGTTGGTGCTGCTGCTGCTGCTGCTATATACAATGTTACACTCAAACATATCCACTTCTGCTGCTGCTGCTGCTGCTGCTGGTGTTGGTGCTGCTGCTGCTGCTGGTGTTAGTGCTGGTGCTGGTGTTGGTGCTGCTGATGCCGTTGCTGCGGTTGTTGCTGCTAATGCTGCCGGCGTTAGTTAATCTGGCTGCAACAGCAGCAGCAGCAGCAGCAGTTGCTGCTGCTGCTGCTGCTGTTGCAGCTTACAGTAAGAAATAGTATTAGTTAGTCTCACCTGTTCTGCTTCTGTGCGTTTCTTTAGAAGCCCCTCGTCTCGTGACGGGAGCGGCTCTAGGCCCCCCCCAGCAGCAGCAGCAGCAGCAGCAGCAGAGGATGAGACTGCCGAGTGTGTTGCTGCATAATCTGCAATATGTGTTTCTTCTCCTCGCTCAATTATTGGGATTGAACGAAACCCGGAGCCGCTAACATGAGAAGTGCTGCCTTCAGTAACAGATAGAGGCCCTGTATGTCGACGAGAAGGGGTTCCTGCTGCTGCTGCTGCTGCTGGTGCTGCTGCTGCTGCTGGTGGTGCTGCTGCTGGTGTTGCTGCTGCATATGGTGTTGTCGGAGTAGGCGGTGCGGGTGGTTCTCCTGCTAATGAAGCAGCAGAGGGTGGAAGTGCTGCTGCTGCTGCTGCTGCCTTACTTGCAGCAGCAGCAGGTGTATTCATCCCCTGAGAAGGCGTGTGGGGGGTAAAGGAGTGCACATCTAAATCAGCATATTTGCTTTTCTCTCTCTTATCTGTCCTATCACCTTTAGCAGCTGCTGCTGCTTGTGCAGCAGCAGCAGCACTAGCAGCAGCAGCAGCAGCAGAACTTGGTGGATGAGGCACCTCTTCTTCTGGTTCTGCATCTGTATGTTTAGGCGGTTCTTCTCGTGTGTCTGCATCGGTTTGATTTTTTCTGTCTTTATCATCTTCATTTTCTTTCTCTTTATCTTCTTGTTCATCTTCAACAACTTCTTCTTCTTCTTCTTCTTGTTGCTGCTCAGCAGAGGGGACTACCCAAGTGTATATTGCTGCTTCATGCAGACAGCCGAATGCTTGAGCTATGTCTGGAGACTTTATATCTAAATTTCCTAGTCTATCAACCTGTCTCCAACCTAGCCTGGGCACCACCCGATCTGCATGCGCTAGTACATCTGTTCCTGAATAAAACAAAACAATAATTTAAATAATGCACTCATTTAATTAATTAATTTAATTAGTTTAATTAGTTTAATTTATTTAATTAAGTTATAACAAATGAATTGTAATAGAGAAGAAAGAAATTAAAACAAAACAAGTAAAGAAAAATTAATCAAAATAATTAAATTATAAACAAACAAAATAAATATTAAAAAATAAAAACAAAACAAAAAACAAATAATATAAAAATAATAATCTTTTCTTCAAATAGACAATGGACTCCACATATATACAATATATAAATATATAAATATTAATTATTATAATATATATAATATACATATTATATATA